TAGGAAATTCATTCATTCACTTTGAGACAATTTGTTTAGATTGTTTCAACTTTTTGTTAAGTTATTGTTTTGTCAGATCAGCAGCAGGTAATTTTTGATGGGAAAAAAGGGAGAAAACTTCATCCAAAAAACTCAAATTTTGACTAATTGGTAAATTATTTAGAAAAAAACAAGGAATTTTTCGAGTTTGAAAAGTTGAAAATTTGTTAGAATAAAACTCAGAAATTTTCAGGAAAAAAAATTTGCTGGAAATGTTTGAACCCGTACCTTGAAAGTTTTTGAATGTTCCTGTATTTTCAGACATCTGTTCCATAAGAGCTGCGTGGATCCGTGGCTGCTGGACCATCGAACGTGTCCGATGTGTAAGATGAACATCCTGAAGGCCCTGGGCATCGCTGTGAGTCCGGCTCCGCTCCGCTCCGGTTCCGTCTCATTTCAACGTTTGACCGTTTCCGTTTTCCTCCCAGCTGAACGCCGACTGCCTGGACGACCTCCCGCTGGACTACGACCTGGCGCTGGGCGGCGGCGTGGGGATGGGCGGAGTCGGCGCCCTGGCGCTGGAGGCCGTGGCGTCCGGGGCGTCCAGCGACGGGACGCTGAGCGAGGGCGGGTCCTCGGTGGTTCTGGACCCCGGCGTCAGGCGGGTCGGGCTTCCGCAGGACTACCAGGACCTCGACCCGCTCAGAGACAGCCCCGTGACGGCCACCACCGACACACACACAGGTTGGACTGAGACTCTGCTGGGCGTTAGTCATCAGAGTTACAGTGACACCTGGTGGCGGTTCTGAGGCATTACAGGATCAGAACCCATTTCATTGTCATTGTGCAAGAGAAAAATTTAAAATGTAGCAACTCTGAAAGGCAAGTCAAAAAATAAAACATATCTCAGTAAATATAAATAAATAGAAACACACAAACAACTGGGATGTTAAGAAAAAACTAAAATGTTGATCAGGTTTTAGATGAATTATCTGTGTTCAGGGCAATAAGAGCTGTTAGAAACAGTTTTTTACTCAGGTTAATCCAGGTGGTAACAGAAGCTACTTACTTCTGTTAAATACCTTATTAATGTAGCGCTTTAGCTTTAGCTTCCATTGAAAAGCTAATGTTGTTGTAGCGCCTTAGCATTAGCTTCTGCTAAACACCGTGTTGGTTTAGCGTCAGCAGGACTGATGTCTGTGGTTAGCACAGCTAACGTCTTGGCTGGCGGTGCCGCTGCTGGTTCTGGTTCTGACTTCATCTTCATCTTCCAGGTGAGCTGCAGCCGATGGCGAGCAGCGCCTCTGTGGCGTCGCTGGTCATCGCCGTGGAAACCGGCCTGTCGGACGAGGAGGGGTCCATGGATCGACCTCATCTGGGTGCCAAGTCCTGAGAACAGCCCAGCAGAACCGAGCCAGAACCAGGCCAAAATAAACAAGACCTCATTGAGCCAGAAGGTCCAGAGAGACTAGAACCATCTGACGTAAACGTGCTAACAGCCTGGTTCTGGATTAGGCCTGTCTGGTCCAGAACCACGAGGCTCGACTGGGTTTGGATTCTTGGAGCTCAAAGGAAGCGGACGTGTTTCAGTTTTCACCTTCAATCGTTCTTGGTTCTTCATCCCGACTCCGCCTGGTTCCGTCCCCAGATGATCCAGTTGGTTCTGTCAGCAGAACCGAATTATTCCTGACAGAACCCATCCGTCTGGTTTCTCCGGTTCTCTTTCACGACGAGTCTCTCCTTGCTCTGGTTCTGGTTCTCCAGATTCGGACCGCCTCTCTCTGACATTTTGCATCGTCTGACTGAAAGACTTGGATCTCAATCGGACTCTGATTGACCCGGCAGTATTACTCCTGCAGTATTGAAGACCCACCTCCCCCATTCGGGTCGGTTTGCTCCTTGACCTCTGAACTTTCCTGACTTTCGGTTTCAGTTCTTTCTCTGTCGTTTCTGGAGCGAAGCAGGAATCAACAAAGTTTATTTAAATCGTGAAGCACAGATGAGAGGAAGAAGAAGAAGAAGATGCTGCCTGGACCTCTGAATCGGTACCAGAACCAAACCTGGAGCAAACGATGAGTTTCTGAACCACCTGAGAGCAAAATCAACTCTTCATCTCCTTCGGTTTCCATCACAGGAACTCTTGGTGCTTTTGGACCACAGTGGGTTTCCTGTCGGGTTTAGGTTTCATCTCAGGCTGCAGAGTTTTTATTGATCAATAAATTAATTGGAAATTCCTTACAGAACCTGTTTGACGTCCTGTTGGACCACAGAGTACTTCCTGTAGCTTCTGGAGCAAATTCCACCTTGTTTTGTCCAGACTAGTTCTTTACTATTTGAATATTCAAATAATTAATCAAATATTTGTGCAGAACTCTGTGATTGTGATCTGAGCCGTTTCTGATCATCTCCACCAGCTGCTCTGAAGCTTCTTCATTTACATGAGTTAAAAAGACAAAAACATTAAATCTGCATCAAATCGATAAAGAGCCTAAATGCTAAAGCTGATAAATTGCCTGATATTTATGATTAGTTTCTGATGTTCTGCAGCCCTCTCGTTGATAAAATCAGTCTAAAATATAACTCTATATTTGATCAGAAATTAATTTGTAAAAAGTAAAAGACGCTCAGATTGTTGGGAAAATGTCAAAATTCATTAAATTCACAGAATATTGAGAATAATCTATTGGATTTTAGGCACAAAGGAACCCGATATGAACTGGTTAAATGTAGTTCATTGAATTAAAGGTTCCAGTTCTGATACATTAAATCAGTTTTGCAATAAATTAAAGTCTTTGAGATTTTCTTGTTTTTATGATCGATGGTACAGAGCGGCTGCAGCTTGGAGGATTAAACAAAACGGCTTCTTTAATCCCGTCTCGGGTCTGACTTTAGCGTAACGTTGCTCTGACTGTCGGGATAATTTAGCGGTACCTCTCCAGAACCGTGTGGTCCGAAAGCACCTTCAGCGTTGCCTTGCTCCTCCTCCTCAACGCGTCTCCGCCGTCATCCTGCTGCCTTTTTCTACCCTTCACTCCTGATAATCCTCGCCGCCACCGCGTTAATCCCCCCCAGAAACACGGACTGCGAGTGAAAGGTTCCCGGTTCTGCCTGGACCCGTTCCTCGTCCTGTAAATATGAAACGGGTTCACTTCGCTGTTTGTTGCTCGCTCCGGACGTTTTCGACGAGAAAGAAAAAGATTGTCGTCTATTTTGATACCAGAGGAGTCGTTTATTTTTGTAACGAAGCAGCAGAGACTGATTTATCGGCGCCGTCCGACCCGCCAGCAGCCCGGATGGTTCTGATCGGGCTGGTTTAGATGTTCAGTATTTGTGTAATTGTACATAAAAGCTTGTTGCTGTTTTTATTTCCAGAGCTTGTTTAGTTGAAACCTGGGAGAACTGAGCTCACGTTGATGGATGGAAACGAAGAAGCGACTTGAGCGGAAATGAACAGTTCCTTTGGTGTTGCTCTGTTTTCCAGCCTCCTTCCTTCAGTTCCTTTCTGGACTTTTCTTTGCTTCAGCAGGTTCCCGTTGTAAACACTAAGTAATTTATACTCTGTAAAATCGGAGCGCTCGGAAGAAATGACGAATTTGTACGGATTGTCTTGGACGATTTTCAGTGAGAAATGTTTTAATTAAAGTCACCTGTTTTGTGTTGTGAGTTTCCTCCTTTACAGAGTTTTTATTGTTTCCTCGTCTTATTCTTCTTATTTTGTATTCAAGGAAAAATTAGGCAGAGTTTTAAAGCTAGAATAGAAATAATGTCACACAGTGGAGAAACCAAGTTATGTAGGTTCACACAAAATATTGAAAAGCCTTAAAATATATGAAACCATGATTAATAATCTTTACATTATGACATGAAATTCTGTGCAGCTATCAAAAATACCTGAATCCAAAGTTGAAATTTGCTAGAAAAAAAGTCAGATTTTTAGATCAGTCTAAAAATGTAAGTTTTCATTAAAAACACACAAATTGAATTTATTTTTAGCTTGCAAAGAAAAAATAAAATACAGTAAATTCTTCCTATCTTGGTGTGAAAATGAAGATGTGACGTCATCCATCCAGGCAGCTGACAAATTAAACTACCACACAAAACTACTTGGTAAGATTTTTTGTTTTTTGTAAATACAGAGCAACTTATCTCCACGAACTGTACAATTAATTATTTTAGATTTACAATGGAAACGAATCTCAAGAAACGTTGCATTTGAAAAATGTAAAATATAAGAGATTTCTTAAATATTTCAGGTTTCCTGAAAGGTCTGAAATTACTTAGTACTTTTGTTTTTTAGCTTGGAGGAATTTAGCAGAAAATGCAGTGAGTGTAACTTTTCTCCAAGCTTAATTTCTAAAACATAAAGATCTCAAATCAACCTGAGCTGCTTTACACATGATGTACCAACAAGGTTCTGATTTATTTTTCCACTACAAACCTTGGATTTATCTTATATTTTTGTCTCTGAGACCAAAGACTTCAGAGCATTTGTGTTATTGAAGCTCTGATGTTTTCTTTTTTGTTTTGGGTTGTTGTACTACTCAGCCTGTTCACGTGGGGGCGCCAGATACACCGTTAATTTCAGTATGATGGGTCATTTTGTGATTAGAAGTTAAATCAGGGAACTATTTTATTTTTCCACTTTATTCAAATAAATTAACAAATATCTGTGTTTTTGTAACAGTAATGACTCAATAAATTTCTGGCTCTAATAGAAACGACAAAAACAATTTTAAGTTATGTTTCTGTGTTTTATGAAATGACTTAAAATTTTTTCAGATACTTTTTGTCATCAGGTTGGAAACAATTTAAAAAAAAACAATTTTCCACAAATTTCAATATTTTGTTGAAGTGTATCCACTTTCACTTTGATTTTCTTTAAAATCTCAAAATAGAAATAAAATGTTTTCTCTTTGAAAATGCCTTTAAAGAAAATATTTTTTTAAGGTGAACCCAGAGTTAAAATGGTTTTTTTTTTTTTTCTTTTTTTTTTAAGCGCTTCAAGACATTTATTTTGAATTGTTGCTACATAAATAAACTGAATTGAATTGATTCCTGTTTAAGTGGTGCAGAGAAAAGTCACATCTTCACTCTGGAAACGTGTAGCATCTCGTTTTCTCCCTGATCTGGACTGCTTGGTCTGTTGGGGCCCAACGCCAGGGGCCCAAAGAGTCTCGGGGCCCCATGAGCTTCACCAGTAAAATGTCAGAAACAGACCCCTGCTGACATCTAGTGTGACACGTTTAGAGCTGAACTCCATCAACTGGATGTTAAACGTTTTACATCATTTCTAACCAGTTTTAAGGAGAAACAACGAAGAAAAGACACTTGAGAGGTCAGGAATCATCACCACAGCATTACAAAGCTTAATATTAAGAGGCTTAGGAAGATGAATAATGGAGAAAAGAAAGGCAGAAGACTAGAAAAAGGAGGAGGAGCGAAACCGGCTTTCTGCTCCTTCACTGTATTAATTTATTCAGCGCTGCTTCCTCTGGAGCAGAGAGGAGGAACGAACAGGAGCTGAGCGTTGGCTTTCTGCCGGCCGGCCGGGATTCCCACCATCAACCTCTGCTGATGCCTACGGAGCCTGAACAGGTACGAATATACCAACATGCTTCTGAACAGACATTTTGTTTCTAGACTTGTAGTTTTAATTGTTGAGGGACCATCATGGAGTCACATTTCTTACAAGATATTTGTTAAATATGTTTCCGTCTGCTATTTTGCGAATTAACTCTTTCAGATGAGTCAAAAACCACCTGAAGTGAGAGTGAAAACTTATTTGCGAAATTGGAAAAATTGCTTAAAATTTTGCTGTTTCTATTAGCCGCTCACATAGAGTTCACTTCAGCCGAACCGAGACCAGGAGTTGTAGACGGACCAGAGTTTGTGTTTTTGGTCCAAACCAGAGTTCATGTCCACTTTCACACCTCCCCAATAGAACTGGATTTTCTAGACAAACTAAAGTTTGATTAAAGTGGATCTGGTGTGAATGAACCCTAAACCAAGTTCTACAATGGTATAATTTCCCAACTACTAAAATATAATTAAATTGAATCATCATTAGTTGAAGACTATCTAATTTGTAATTTTTCACTGTTTCTCCATCTAGTGTAGATCCTCTTTGGGATTCTGCCTGATTTTCAGCTGAACAAGCAGGAATAATAACAATGTCAAAACCTCTGAATGCCACTAAACAAAGGACGGATATTGTTCAGTTGGAACTTGACGTTCCAGAAGACGTGGAGCCTTCAAGCACAGCTGTGAACACGGATCCCAACGACAACTGGGGTATGGAGCCAAACTTCAACCTCAACTTCAATCTGAGCTCTCAGAGTAACCCTCGTCCCACCAAAGAGCCCTCAAAGATGCATTCTGGGAGTAAGAAGGAAAATAAAAGTAAAGGAGGAGCAGCAGCTGCAGATTTTAACACCATTTCAGTACCAAGTGAAAAACCTAGGAGCAAAATCCCAACAGCAACAGCTCAGATGACTGTGAAAGACAAAGTCAGCCAACAGCCGAAATCTCCAAACATTAAGAATTCCTCTTCACCCGAGGTACAAAGTCCCAAACCAACCGGGGTGGAGCTGAGGAGCAGCCAGAGATCTACAGAAAAAGTCAGAAGTGAAACACCTACAGCAGAATCTGCAAAGCCAGTGACTGCGGTGACACCTGAGCCGACAGCTAACTCTGCAAACAGCGTAACACCAACCCGAAAGACGCAATCAAACAGGACCAATGAAGGTGGAAGAGAGATTCACCTTGAGACGCCACCAAAAACCCTGCAGCTGCCTAAAAGCCCAAAGGTCCATAATCAAAAGGGAGATAAAAGCACCATAAGCCCAAAGCTAACAACAACTCGAACCCCAACTATGATGGCCAAAATAAAAAAACCAGATCCAGTAAACTCGACTGCTGACCAAAAACCTGAAGACGACTCTGGAGCTCAAGGTGTTTTTACAACCTCAGGAACCTCTCAGAAAGAGAAAACAGGGTCACCACTTCTCAGGACCAAACCCTCCCGAGTATCCTCTCTGAGTCCGAATCCATCCACTCAACGAAAAACCAACGGAACCAGAACCATTAACGTGTCAAAGTCTGAGGGGAATCTTCACAGTAAAGACTTAAAGGCTGCTTCTGGACCCAAAGTCAATATCAAAACCAGTTCAACCCCCAGATCTACAAAAAGATCCAAAGATGGTCTGGATTCAAAACTCAGCTCCAAGTCCAGAGACGCACTGGATTCCAGAAGCAGCAGCGCCTCGAAAAGCAGTTTGGACTCTCGGGACAGTTTGGATTCCAAGAAGCTCCAGAGTTCAAAGGTTATCCGAAATCCACATGACCCAAAAACCTCAGCAGAAACCAGGATGAAGAAAAGCCACCAAGGTTCGGAGAAAGTTATTGATTCCAAAACCGTCCCAAAGAACAATCACGATTCTAAACTTCTCCAAATCTCAAAAGCAGGTTTTGATCCCAAAATAAAACCCAACTCTGGTTCTGATTCTAAACCAGGCTTCACCCAATCTGGTTCTCCAGCTACGCTGCAGGCCTCTGCTTTCAGTATGGATCTTCTTGGCTGTGGTTCCCTTTCTCCCATCTCCAGCGGAACCATCAAGACGTCAGGTTTTGCTGTTGAGCTCAGTTTAAATCGTAAGAGTCAATCAGATTCATCGAGACCTGGGCAAGTTCGGTCCGGTTCTAAGTCAACACTCACTGATTTGTCCGCTCCGATATCAACAATTCAGAGTCCAGGAGCCAGTACTGGAAAAAATGTTGCTTCTCCTGTAACTGGATCAAACAAGGAGAACCAGAAGAGTCCAAGTTCCACTCCAGGTAATAACAAGTATCAAAATACCACAGAGGCGCATGCAATGAGGCCAGGCAACGGTTCAGAGACACTCAAATATTCAGCAAAGGGGCAATTCAATGTGGAACAAACATAACTTCAGAGTTAGGGTTCATTGATTATTGCAACATGAGGACACTTTTGCAATAATCAATGTGACTACAGGTAAATGCATGGATGAGTTTCTCTAGATCTTGCTGAGACGTTTGTCCTGTGATCCTGGAAATGTTCTTTAGATGTCAGAAGGCCGACTTTGTGACCGTCTTTATGTTGCTCTGTAGGTTCAGGTCAGAGATCATCACCACACCCAGGTTTCAGCCTGATCTCTAGTTTCCAGCTGTAATAACTGAAGCTGTGCATTGACTCTAGATCTAGATGTGTCCAGTAGTTTGATAACTGCTGTTTTTAAAGTTTGGTAGTAAATGTCTCTAGGTTTTACCTTCAATTTAGCTGAAGAACATTAGCTTGGCAGCCATGTTGCTATGCCACAATGTGCCAAAGCAAAGCACCTCATCTACTGCGAGCCATAAACTTACACCAGTTTAGACAGGCCTTTACAACTTTATCAAACATGAGTTACTGATTCCTTGACAAGGATGAAGTAAAGTCTCTGTCAACAGATGATGTACCTCTTTGTTTTTGTTTTGTTATTTCAGGTATCTTGGCCCCTTTGGCATCTTCCAGTCCTAAAACCAGGCCTGTGGTGACCTCCAAAATCCTGGAAGGATCCACAGATGCCTCAGAAGAACGTGCAGTTATGACAAGAGATCCTAACAGTTCATCCCGAAATACTAGTCTGACTCGAGGTCTTACCTTTGATTCGATCACAAAACCTGGTAATAATACTGGCAATAAGCATTTAAAAGCCGCTGAGAGTGAGGTTAATACTCAAGGAAAGGTGGAGGTTTCAGAAGAGGCCAAGAATGACAGGGATGGACGTCCATCAGGGGATCCGGAGGGGAAATCGGTTCTCCCACTGAGTAAAGCTGGTCACCCAGGAGACACAAATATCATCTCATCACCTCGGGCAACCAGAGCAAGAGAACCAAAGCAGCAAATACAAGTTCATGGAAAAAAGAATGAAGGGACTCCTTCATCTCCTCTTCGTCCTGTCTCTTCTTCTTCCACTCCTACACCAACCAAGAAGAAAGTCAAAGAGACTGCACCTAAACCTGAGCTTTCTCAAAGACTCCATAAAGGTGCAGGGATGCAGAAAGAGGTGGGCGTTCAGGTGGAGGTGGAAGTGGTCGAGCGTTCTGCCTCTACAAGTCCCAGCCTCTACCGCGGACTTCCCACCTCCTCCATGACTGGTTCCTCCAGCTGTCAGTCATCGCTGAGCGGCGTGCCACCTCTCAAACATGTCTGCCAGATCGAGATTGAGCTGTGCAGCCAAACGCTGCTTCCATACGTTGTTCCTGACAAGGCCAGTTCCCTCCCTGCATGTTTACACTTCCAGCAGAACGCTGCTCTTAGGTCGGAGTTCGGATCACACCACAATCCAGATGTTAGTGGTGAGAGCATCCAGGAAGATGAAACTAAAGATGAGGAACAATGGCAACCCAACAAAAAACAGGAGGATGGGTTTAAAGGGCAGACGGAAAAGCCCCCGGAGGTGTTGTGGGACAAACAAGGGATGACGTGGGAGGTTTATGGCGCCTCCGTAGACCTAGAGTCTCTGGGCACGGCCATCCAGTCCCACCTGGAGATGAAGATTCGAGAACAGGAGAGGCACATCCGGATACTTCGGAAGTCCATCTGCTCCAACAGCAGCTTTGCCCGGTACAAGAGGAAGAAGAGACAGAGAAGGTTTCTGGGTTGCTGCGTCAAGGCGTCCGCCGTGGCTGACTGAGATCAGCGCAGGATGTTCAGGACATTAAGGACGGTCAGGACATTCAGGACGTTCAGAACATTCAGGACATTAAGGACGGTCAGGACATTCAGGACGTTCAGAACATTCAGGACATTAAGGACGGTCAGGACATTCAGAGACGTTCAGGATGTTCAGAACATTCAGGAAGTTCAGAGACGTTCAGGACGTTCAGAGACGTTCAGGACATTCAGAACATTCAGAGACGTTCAGGACGTTCAGAACAGTCAGGACTTTCAGAGACGTTCAGGACGTTCAGAGACATTCAGGACATTCAGAGACGTTCAGAACATTCAGTGACATTCAGGACATTCAGAGACGTTCAGGACGTTCAGAACATTCAGGACGTTCAGAACATTCAGTGATGTTCAGGACGTTCAGAGACGTTCAGGACGTTCAGGACATTCAGTAACGTTCAGGACATTCAGAGACGTCCAGGACGTTCAAAGACGTTCAGGACGTTCAGAGACGTTCAGAAAGTTCAGGACATTCAGAGACGTTCAGGACATTCAGAGACGTTCAGGAAGTTCAGAACATTCAGAGACGTTCAGGACGTTCAGAACATTCAGGACATTAAGGACGTTCAGAACATTCAGGACATTAAGGACGT